CAATCAGGACCAGGCAAAAAAGGCCTACATGGACTTCGTGGATTCTCTACCACCCAGTTTTTTCTTTGATGGGATTTATCGAATCACATTGGCAAAAGTGTGCTGATTCGAACGGTGCTTATTTCGATTAAATCCGATGAGTATTAAGAAAGTTATGATCGTTTAAAGTGAAACACTCAAAACGCTGAGAACTTTCCGGACAACCTAATATTTAGTCGAGGAGGAGCGAAAGAGCAGATGAGTATTCGCTCGCCGCCTGGTCCCACCCCTCCCCCAAATAGGTTGGCACCTACGTATATAGGTAACGCCGCCATCATCCTATTGAGAATAAAAGAATGGAACTAGGCGTAGGAAAACGGTAGCCGCTCGTCGCACGCAACCACACTACAAATGTTCCCAAATTGCCGCAGGCATGTAGAAAACGGTTAGGCAGCGTTCAGACTTGTAGCGCTACGTAGCGCTACAATTGTAGCAAACTCCAGCTTCCCTATGTTTTTTCTTTCTGAATTCAACTCCTTTCTCTTTGTTTCTCATGTTTCTCTGGTGCTGAGCTCCTCTTTATCGGTCACGCCTGTGTGTTGGCTTGCAACCTGTCCGTGGATGCCAAAAACAATTTCGTCATCAGGGTCAACGTGAGGCACCACTGCAAAACATCAAGCAAAGCCATCAAACATCAATAGCAACTCTGAAACTAAATAATTAAAGTCGAAAACGATATATAAAATCAATCATCACAGTGTTCTGTATCAAAAACTACATTAAAATGTGATAAAGTAGAAAAGAGGAGCTCAGCAGCTACGTAGCGCTACAAGTCTGGTCGCTGCCTTAGGTGACATCTTCGAACTTTTGTGCATGGTCCTGTTACGAAACCCTGTGACGCAGACGGATAGAGGGCAGCGGCTGCCAAAGCATCGAAACGTGCAAAAAACGTATGGCGAGCCAGGAAACGGGATTTTTCAAGGGGAGGGGACTCCGGGGTGGGTGAGCTACTTATAGTCGGTGAAAAGCTGGAGTGAGCGAAGTCACAACGGCCATAGAGTGCCATGCGGACGAGAGAGTGCAGAGAAAAAGAGAAGATCGACGCGTTCAAAGGGAATGAGTTCAAGTTGGCCGTAGACCGTAGAAGTGGCGCCTGGGGAAATAGTTGCTATTCGAGTGACTCTAAGTTGAACAAGGTTTTTTTCGCGCGTACGCCCCGCGTTGGCGACGCGTGGTCACTTGGACGAAGAATCTGAGCTACGATGTGCCTTTTACTAGGAACTTGAGTGCTACATGAGCAACATGTTTTTCAATTATACCAGGGAATGAGTTTTCGATTGGTCTCCCTCTCGCGAAGGTTCTCCTCTTTGTGTCCGTCTCTGAGGGGGATTTTGACATAAGGTTGATAGATTTCTTTTACATTTCGCATGTGAATTCGTTATATATTACCCGCGACATCATGTGTTTCGTGGCACATGTTTTTCTGTCTGTATGCGTAGCTGGGTATGAGTGTGCTAACAAGCAGTTTCGCGTAACGCGCATCAAGCATGCGTACTTGTGCCGTCCGCTGTTTGCCACCCACGCCGTACTTAATTTTGACTATTAGGCCTAATAGTCGATGACCTCTATTTAAATTATCATCTGCAGCGATAATGACATCGCCGACCTGTGTGGGTGCGACTGGTTACTGTCGCACTGTGACTGTCGCACGCGGGTCGAATTACAATCTCTGAGCGCTGCGAGGTGTTCGGAATACCGCCATTTCCAAAATTTATCTGAAACTTTGAAGGCTTCGCCATAGCAGGTTGCCAGTTTGTCTCCTGGAATCAGGGCACGTCCCACGTTGGGGAATCTCCAGCGGGAGGGTTGTATCTGGTGGCTGGGGGGGAAGTGGTCGTAAGCGCTGGATCAGCCAACAGTGCACAATGCAGCAATGTCCCTAGCATGAAGCTGGGTGGACGGGAGGGGCCATGGCAAAACCCTGTGATATGAGAAAAATCTTCTTGTTGAGATGTTGAAATATGTTTTGTTTAGATGAAGCCGACCCCGCATCAGATATCGACGAGAGAATGTGTTTCACATACCTGTTGTGGCAACCTAACGAATTTCCTGTGATAGGTTTGGGGGAAAGACTTTTCGAGTAGCTGCAAATTTTTGATACGGCGTTCCTTCCAAGAAAGATTAGCACTTTTTGGAAAGCGTAAAGCCTCTACCCCCAACAATACCTAGATTGTTCCAAAATATTGAGGATGAAGAAAGTTGTGGCTGTTTGAAAGATAAAAATTCAAAAAGCCTCAAACGAATCCCCAGCATGGGATATCTCCAGACTTTGAAGAGTCCAGTGTAGGATTGAGAGACATCTGTAAAGCGAGTTCTTCAGAAACGTTTTTTCTTTTTCCAAATGTTACATCTCTAGAAAAAGTTATGGTTCTCCGAACTTGTATGGCGGGGTTCCAGTCACAGTATAGCGCGCGCCAATGCAGGGTGTACTCAGTTGCGTTCTGCGACCGCAGTAGCCTGCGTGTTGCGACCGCGGTAGCTCGCATAGAGCAGGTTTTCCCCTCACGGCCTGACTTGGAGGTAAGGTTGTAATTGTTTCTCATTTTCTTCTTACTGTTCTGCATTATTTCATATCTACCCATCTATCTGTTTTTATTATGTTTCAATAATTTCTGGGTGTGTGTTGTTCTATTTTTGGTTGGTTACACGCTTTTTTTTCAGACTCGGCGGCAAAACCACGGGCGCCATCGATGGGGAATGGGTGTGTACGGTTTTGAAAGTTCTCATTCGCATTATTTGTTTATATAATATT